GCACGTTTCTCAGAGAAGGGACAGAGCGGTGTGGAATAAAGGTAAATTATGTGAAAAATAATGCGTTTTTTTAAAAGCTAAGCATTAACACATGTTAGACTGCACCCCATAAACACAATCAAGCCTAGAAAAAAAACCAGTGAACCACCCCTTTAACTAATGTTAACAGAAACGACTTTAAGACAGAGGAAAATCATGTACACTACTAATACTTGCAAAAGTATCAAAAATTATTTTATTAACAACGTTTCAGTTTCATGACCTTCATCAGATATATATATATATATATATATATATATATATATACATAACAATATAAACATCTATTTTGCAAGTATTACTAGTGTGTGGGATTTTCCTTTGTCTTTTGATTTTGACCTTTTTTGGTCTTTGTCTCCTACGCACATCTATTGACTTCAGGTGTGCGAGAATTGATTGTCAATTGAACAGAAAAAAATAAAAAATGTATAAATGTATTAGTAATAGGAAATGTTTAAATAAAAAATAAAATAAATAAAAAATATGGCAGTCACACACAAGGCAAAAACGCAGCATCTACAACTCAAAGGTATCACATACACCGGAGCCACAGAAAGACAAACATGTCGCTGAAAAATACACAATACACAATTTTACAGCCTAGGGTGAAGACATTATGCACATTAACAACAATTTGGGACAAATATAATGTAATTTAATGGAAAACTATGTGAATGGCGCTGTGTTGCGCAGCAGAATTTTCTCACATGTCAAAACAAACAACACGAGGTGTCAGTGATTTCTGCCTCTAGAGGCCGCTCTTACACTGTATAATGACAGTGGACCTTCTCAGCCGCTCCAGCAACGGACGCAACCCAGAAAAAAATATCAGCATGGATTTTTGCCGATAACCGATAGTTCTGGAAATCAACTATCAGTGCTGATTAATTGCTAAAACCGATATATCGGTTGACCTCTAATATACACATCATATATAGCACCTTTAAATATATAAAACGACATAAATGGACAGTGGCTGTCAAGCTCCAAAAAGGGAAAACCTGAATGACATTCCAAACCTATTCTCTCTGTAGGTTGTCTGGCTGTATGGTGACCGAGGAAGGCTGTGGTTATTTGTCTTCAGCTCTGAGTTCAAACCCCTCACACCTGAGAGAGCTGGATCTGAGCTACAATCACCCAGGACCATCAGGAGTCCAGCTGCTCAAACACAAACTGCAGGATCCAGACTATAAACTGCAGATACTCAAGTATGTGGGTTAGTTAACTCGAGTATCTTTTGGCATGTGATCTTTGTTTAGAATTATTATATATATACGTACATACACAGTATATGCACATTTCCTACCTTATTGTAAATGAAATTCATCTCCAATCCTTCTTCTATCGTTTCAGGTTTATCCATAGTTATTCAAACGCTAGAAAAACATACAGCTGCCTTCCCAAGTAAAAACCGCCAAATAACGTTTACACGTATGATACGTAATATTCTGATGTGTAATATTCAGACAGTGGGGAGATGGGGGGATTCTATATGTCTCTGCATCGATTGAATGATTAATTTTTTTAAATTGAATTTAAATTAATTTTTTTATTCCCAGTGAATAGGAGTTCAAACTCCCAACCACTACTCCAATAATAAACCATGCAAAACACCAAAAAATTATAATATCTTTAAAATATTGCCAAGCAAAGTTTCAAACAACAATAAATTCAGAGAAGAACTTCAACTGTAAGCGTCACAAGAATACGGAAAACAAAGGTTTTGAGTTTGTTATTATTTAAAATTGTATGTACATTTTTATACTTTTTTTAAATTTACCACTTAGGCATATTGACAATAACGTATATCTCCAACATATGGCCAGATAAGTTTTCAGTGGACTTTCAAAACTTGCTTTGCGTGAGAAAGCAGGAAAATATACAGTTACAATGTGTTTTTCATAGTTATGATGTTTTTTCTTATGATTTAGTCGAGTTAGTTTTGCATCAAACACAATGTAATTTTCGGCAGTCGAGATCTGGCAGCAACAGTGCATTTTTCTGCTTGGGCAAGCACTTCATGGACAGCTTACCTCACGCATGAAATCAGCTGCAGACCAGCAAAACAATGAGAACGCGCTACAATCCTGAGTCACAGCGACAGAGCGGAGGCACTAAAGCTGCGGAGAATCTGTTCACCCGGAAGCAACCGCAACTGATGTAGATTTACAGAAAATTACCATTGTTTTTCAAATAAATAATTTTACATACTTTATCAATCTTTAAGTTACATCTTAAATGACAAGGGATCAACTTATAATAATGCTTATATTAATTAGCCCGTGAACTCATTCTCTCAGACGGTCTGAGTATGCGGAGCATTCGCAGCTTATATGGACGGAATGCCACTGATATACAGTGGGTACGGAAAGTATTCAGACCCCCTTAAATTCAATGCCACATATACTTAAGAATTTAAGTATTGCAAAAGAAAATAAAGTTTTGCAAACGAAAATGAAAATATTGAGAAAAAATAAATGTGCTTTTTGCAAACAAACATAAGTGAACACAAATGAAACATATTTTCCATGACCTCAGATGATGAACCAACCCTGAACCAACATACAAAACTACCAAATTTTGCTATAAGTTTGATCGCAACATATAATCATTGCTGTTAACAGTGTTCACCATCTGTTTGATTGCATGTCATTAACTAACTGCATGATTTTACTGTACATTTCTGCCATATGGACATCGCCTTGACATAATCACCACTGATAAGCTACTCCTAAGTATATTGTAGAAACTTTAATTTTCTGTGAAGCTGCTTTGCAACGATTTGTATCGTGAAAAGCGCTATTCAAATAAACATGAATTGAATTGAATTGAAAGGGACTGGGGCATGTACAACAGGCCTTGGTATGCCACCTTGGATGTTACGTCACCAGCCTGAGACACAGATCACAACTGATCTGCTCATCGTTGATTAATATTAATACCGATTCTTAATATTAATACTATTAATAAGTCCCCAGTTTCTTTTACAGTAAAAACAGTCAATATATGAGGCACAATATAAAAGTTGCGTTTGTGTGTGTTTGTGGCGGTGTGATATGAGAGATGTGAAAGAAGGGCCGGTGTCAAACACCCGGATGAGCGCTGTGTTTTTTACTGTTGCTAATGACAATGGATGTTATCGGGGAGTTACACACCTCAGAATGTTATGACAGAATGTTTTTCACCTCGCGCTCAGTGTGAAACGGCCTTAAAGCTAGAGAACTCTTAGTTTAAGGTCAAGCTGACTTAAAAAAACATGAAATATTACAACAAATTAGTAATTATTAAAACCAAATAAATACTACCTAATTTTATATTTTGATATGGGGTGTTATTTTACACTGTAAGGCATACTAGCAGGATCTGATACAGAGCCTAGTGCCCTAAATTATATCACAAATCGCAGTACGCTTTTAACACCTTTATCAGGTTCGAATGCAGATTTTAATCTTTTTTCCTCAAAACACAGTAATGCTGTATGTTTTTCACAACAGTGAACTGTTTCAATAGACATTAGTTATCAGTCCGTTGAACATTATTTGTTTGTGTGTACATTTCTGTCTCTGTTCAGTTTGGACGATGGAGGACATTTCAGGATCGTTCCAGGACTGAAAAAATGTAAGTCTTCTCTCACGTTTAAACACACCGATGCATATTTAATGATGTCATAGATATTCTGACTTCTATTCCTGTGTTCAGATACCTTTGATCTCACACTGGATCCGAACACGGCACACACTCGTCTCATTGTCTTTGAAGGGAACAAAAAAACAACATGTGTTAAAGAGCATCAGCCGCATCCTGATCATCCAGAGAGATTTGAGCGCTTTGAGCAGGTTTTGTGTGTTGAGAGACTGACTGGACGCTGTTACTGGGAGGTTGAATGGAGCGGCTGGAGTCATGTAGCAGTGTCATATAAAGGAATCAACAAGAAAGAAGGGAGTGACAGTCGGTTTGGTCTCAATGAGAATTCCTGGAATCTTTACTGCTGTGAAACGATTTATTGTGCCTGGCACAAAAATAATAACATTAACATTCCTCCCTCGTCACCCCTGTCTAATAGAGTAGGAGTGTATGTGGACGTGTCGGCCGGCGCTCTGTCCTTCTACAGCGTCTCTGACACACACACACTCACACACTTACACACATTCAACACCACATTCACTGAACCCCTCTATGCTGGATTTGGACTTTATAATGATTCCTCAGTGTCTCTGTGTCAGATTTAACATCATATTGCATAAAAGCAACAGAGAAATCACACACAGTGGAATATTCAAAAGGAAAAATTAATTATTTACATTTATTAATTTAGCAGATATGTTTATCCAAAATAACTGGAAGTTGCTTTTCCTAAAAGGCTCAAGAGACTAAATGGAGATCCTTACTTACATTTCATCTTAGTATCAACAAAAAATGAATTTTTCCCTAAATTCCTTAGGAGAAATTAAAGTAGACACAAATGGGACATAATATAGGAGGAGAACAGGAGGAGAAACTCATGCTGTCTGAGATGCAGCTGTGCCATATGTAGCAATGGAGGCAAATGTCTCTAGATGAGGAGAAAAATCAGAGCACAGTGTGTGATGTTGTAGAGGTCTTTTTTGTAACTTAATAGGAGACATGAGAGGGTGTTAAGGGTATTTTGTTTTTCAGAAAACTTAGGTAAGTCTCAATTTGATATTCATGCTAACTTCTGTGTAAGAGATGGTAAATATCTCTTTTTTATTTTTATATATATATAAAATATTTCAATTTTTTTTGTCCGGGATGCCAAAGCCCTTTGCAGACTGTATGCGTATCTGGGGTTGTGTAGTAAAGTTTCTGTTGTGATTATTCTGTCTCTCTCCTTAATTGCTTAATATTAAATCACAAAGTGAATATTTCTCACATGCATTAACAAGAATATAAACTTTCCCAATCTTTCCTTCCATAAAACAATACATGTAGTGATACAATGCCATATGATGATTAGAGACAAAAGGTCATTAGAAAAAAAAAAACCCTTTCCAAAGCAACAGCCAGAACTCTCAGATGTACAGCAGGCCTTAGCGTACCATGTAGGAAATGAGATACCTTTTTCACCCAGCTGAAAAATGATCATGAAGGAATTCCAGCACTAAACCAACTGTCCAGTTAACCCTGGTTCAACTGGCATTTTGTTCATCATAGAGTGTAGAGTCTCCAGTTTAAGGCATAGAGGGACCTCTAGAGTAATGCGGAGTTCACACTGAGTGACTATCTGGGGTAGCATTCAGTCGCTACTGTGTTCACATTGCACGATGGATCGGCGACAGGAGGTTACACACTGCATGACTTCACAAAAGGAAGAATAACGACAACTCTGTCTGGTCCAGGGTTGCCAGGTTTTCTCAACAAATCCCACCCAATTGCTACTCAAAGCTAGCCCAAAAATAGCCAAATCGGGTTTCGAGGAGGGTCCCCTGGTAAAATCTCTCAGATCGCGTCTTTCATAATTCACACTGCATGATTGTCATTCGCTTGAACGAGCACCGATTTCATAAAACCTGTCAGCGAGTGAAAATCGTGCAGTGTGAACTCGGCATAATATGGTCTCAAAAACCAGGGTTGAGAGACCAGAGTTCAGAAGGTGGTCGCCTGCAAGAACCGAACCGAACCAAACCAAACTCACACGCAGCAAAATCCCCAGTGTTAATTTAACACTGCTCTGTGTTTATATGGGAACCACCAGCAGAGTGTTAAAAGTAACACTAGCAGCGTTAGAGTTAATGAGATAAATAAATGATTTATTGAGTGATGATTGAGCATTATTAAAGACACCTGATGACAACGAGCAGAATCACTGAAGAGAAACAACTACACCTGACTTCCATTCACAGCCTTAAAGAGGACATATCATGGAAATCTGACTTCGTCTTACCTTTGACCATAAAAATCCAAGTTTGAGTGTTTCAAAAACACCTAAATTTATGCAGATGTGTGCCAAAACCAGTTATTATGATCTGCCTTTCTTTCTTCCTCAGACAAAAGTGTTCCTACTTCTACATTGAGGCAATTGAATTCTTGTGTCAGGTTCGAAGGGTTTTTCTGAAGGTTTTTTTAAACGTCATTCACATTTTTCTCTTCATCCTTGAGACTGTCAGTGTCGTTCAAGAGCTTGGTAATTTAGCAAAGTTATGATCTTCTGTCTTTATAAGGGCCACTTTAAGCTCACAGCCACATTAGCCAGTGCTTACCATGCCATATCTTTGCCTAAACTGGTCCAGATATGTTTTAGGATAACTGGGCCCAGGGCCGGAGTGGGACTCATTTTCAGATCTGGAGTTTCATGCCTTTGAACGGCCCACTTTAGTTCATGACTGACCATAGCTATTAAAATAATGTCATTAAAACCTCAGTATATAAGTCTGCAATAGTGCAGTTCTCTACATCCTTGTAATTCATTGTATTTTTCTAGAGCTTTCGTGTTTTTAAATTTTTTTAAATTTAGTTATTTTTTATACTGGCCTTTTCAGCGCCGTATTTTGCTTTCTATTATCTATTTTTATCTTTTTTTTTTTTTTTGCTTGCATATCTCCAACAACTGACTTTTTTTTTCTTTTTTTCTGAGCAAGGTGCTGCTGTCGGGGAGTCAACAGATAATAGCCAATTAACTTCAGAAATGGAAAATAAGCAACAATTGTGATTCTTTATAAGAAAATAAGGAACAGAATAAGGGGTGCACAAAATATTTGTACTGTACCATAATGTAATGTCTGCCTGCAGTCAAAAAGTTCTCAGAAATAATCACCTATTTATGCACAATTATTCTAAAAATAATTTTAATGTCATACAAATAATAATTTCATCGACCTGAGTAAATTGTAGAATTGTGACTGCACGAGTGGTGTAGTAATTTAGGAGGTGAATACTGTGAAATTACATAAATACAAATGGCATGCAATTTAAAAGCATAAAAACTGAAGGTCTATGAAACGTCAGTCAATAAAGCATTTTTTTTAAACAATGGCACTTACATTTTTGAATAAAAATATTATTGCAACCATAGCCTATGAATGAATAAAAATTAATATTTTTCAATTAAAGAAAACTTCGAGAGTCTGGGCTGCTTCTGGTGCTTGGACTTTTACTTCAATATAATGAGGTCCAAGTTTAAGAATATGCTAGAAGTTAACTTTTTTTTAATGTATTTTTTTATATTACATATATTTAATATTTAACTATATCTATTTAACAGCATTCACTTACAACAGTGAAAGACGTCTTCCCTCAGGTCGATTGAATGTTTTCCTGTCTTGCTGGATGTTGGGCTCATGATCAAACTGATTTGCCAAAATCAAAATGTGCCCAGTGAAGGGAATTGCCATTAGCGCGAGTCCCGCTCGCTGTGAAGAGGGAGCAGCCAGCAAATTATTCCGCTTGGTCTTAAAGCCTTCCAAATGTTCACAAATAAAACAATAATTTGCGGGAATAATAATAATTAATTATCAATTGAGAACTTGGTCATATGGCGAATGTCTGAGAATACAGGACAAACTGCGTTATAGATTTCATACGGGATGCTTCTTTGATGCCTTAAATACGGGCATCAATATTTCAACCCCAGTGGCATGGCAAGACTCTCGTGCCCAAAAAAAACAGACCGGCCCACCGGGAATTCTCCTGGTGCTCCCGATTAGCCAATCCGGGCCTGACTGGGCCACATTTGTGGCATCATATGCGGGCCATTTTAGGCTCACAGCCACATTAGCCAGTGCTTACTGTGCCATCTCTTTGCCAAAACTGGCCCAAATATGTTTGAGGAAAACTGAGCCACATTTGCAGCATCATATGAGGGCCACTTTAGGCTCACAGCCACATAAGCCAATGCTCACTGTGCCATATATTTGTCAAAACTGGCCCAGATATGTTTTAATATACCTGGGCAACATTCGTGGCATCATATGAGGGCCACTTTAGACTCACAGCCACATTAGCCAGTGTTCACTGTGCCATATCTTTGCCAAAACTGGCCCAGATACGTTTTAACCCCTTAACTGACAAAGATCGGTGACGGCCCCAGATTGTTGTGGTTTCACTTTCACAGCACGTTAAAATATCACACTCTTACTTGATCTGGACAAACTGTGCATCATTAGACAGATTAAAGACTCTAGCTTCGATATTTGACCACTGTTTTGATAAAACTGTTGCTTGATAGCAATTTATTAATTTATGTCAGGAGTGCAAAATAATAAATCCGTATATCGAGGGGTAAGAACCAGAAGGGCGTAAGTGACATTTTTGGTGAAATGGAGATATATACAGTGGGTACGGAAAGTATTCAGACCCCCTTCAATTTTTCACTCTTTGTTATATTGCAGCCATTTGCTAAAATCATTTAAGTTAATTTTTTTTCCTCATTAATGTACACACAGCACCCCATATTGACAGAAAAACACAGAATCGTTGACATTTTTGCAGATTTATTAAAAAAGAAAAACTGAAATATCACATGGTCCTAAGTATTCAGACCCTTTGCTCAGTATTTAGTAGAAGCACCCTTTTGATCTAATACAGAGCAAATGGCTGCAATATAACAAAGAGTGAAAAATTTAAGGGGGTCTGAATACTTTCCGTACCCACTGTATATCAAATGAAAGCTCTTAATGAGCTTCAGTACTCAGTACACAAAGTCAGATCAAACTATGGTAAAATTTTTGTTTTGGATCTCCTGTAAAGTTGGTGAAATGTCACTTACGCCTTTCTGGTTCTCACCCCTCGATATGTCATATTTGGAATTTAAAATTCACAACGCATTCATATTCAGTAACATTTGCAGCGGTTTATTTGTGTTCACATAGCTTCACTGAACAGCATCATACTTCATATTTCTTCAGACAGAATCATCATTTCTATTCATTTTCCACTGATTTAGGCGATTTCATTAGCATTACACTTCCCAGCGCTGTATCAGTGTGTTATACTCTTCCGTGGTCATTTGCTGGTGAAATGTCAATCATATTGTGCATCACATTCCACCCCGTCTCATCCTGTGATGCACTTCCCGTGCTCTTCCGCGTCCTGTTCTGACCAAAACAAACCCAGATAAACACTTTTACACACAAAGCATAAAGATAATAAAGACACGATTACGATAGGATGTGGTTTGTATGTGATTTTCTTGAGATTTGGGGTATTTTCATAACAATAAAGGAGGAGGTAGGAGGAGGTAGAGAAACAATATGGCGGACTTTGCGACACGAGGGTTGGCTGTATCTTCGTCTGCGTCTGCGTCTGCGTCTGTGTTTAAACTATCTCGTCTGAAACCTGAGATATATAACACTGTTGACGGCAAAGTTATTGTTGAGGATGAATTCCTTAATTTTCTTGCTGTTAAAATTAAGACTCTAAGTCAGGACGAAATTGTCTTGTTGGCTGCAAAGACATTTGATTCTGATTGGATCTAGGCCTCAAAGAAGGTACTGTTTGAATTATGTCCTACAACACAACGGAATGTTTCTCATAAAGGGCCACAGAAAGACGATAATAACATAAAAAGCTGTCTTAAAGGCACAATATGTAATTTTCGCCGCTGGACACGGTCCGTGTCACTAGTTAAAATTTCTTATTTCTCTGGATTTAAACATTCTTCTAAACATTTGGGATAATGTAAGTACACAAGTCAGCAAAATATAAAAAACTGTTCTTGTGGTTTTTGGATATTTTAATAAAAAATCTTACATATTGTGCCTTTAAAGTGATGAATGAACGTGGCGAAGATATCCCCAGATTTATTTCACATTATTTGGATGAGTTGCCGCCAGTGTCCTTCGATATCATCGATGTTTCAAGTTTGCTTGGAAGAATGGAGCAGCTGAGCTGAGCGCTGAGCTTTGTTCTATGAAACACGCACTGCAACTACATGTTAATATGGGTGAATATCTACGAGCTATCACAGTGGATATTAATCGAAGAGTGTACCGACACAAGGCGGTGGTTCGGAGTATTGGTCAGAGCTACACGGATCGAGGGTACGGCACTCAGGGCCGCATCGGTGGAAACTTTGGATACGGGCATTGGCGAAGGAGCTGCGGTGGCGGGGTCCTTATCTTTGAATGCTCAGAGAGTGGAAAGTCCTGTGACTGTGGAGGGAGCTACAGGATTAACATCTTCCTCAGATTCTCCGAAGTGGAGTCGTGTGGTGAAAAAGGGTCGTCGACAAGGTTTTGTGAATGCTGATTCTAAATCAAGATCGTCTGCTGTCATTCCCAGGCAGAAAAAGAAGTCAGGCAATGTCATGTCTGTTGTTGGTACTGTTGTTAGCCTATTATGTAAGTACAGATAGATGTCTGAGTAATATTCATTTACAGGGCCAGATTTACCTCTTTTCGTGACATAGGCAAAACTAATTTTTGGGACCATTACAGTGTTTTCTATCGCAATAAGTGCTGCATTCAGTCAATAAAAAAATCGAATGTTGTTCTTAATTTGTTTGAGAACTGAGAAAGACCATTCCATTAATAGGTGCGGCGACGTGGCCACATGATAACCACTTCGGGAGTGCATTATTTCTCTTAATAAACAGAATTGGGGACAAAAGGGAAGTCATGGCCTAATTAGAGAGGGTTAGAGAGCCGGAATCGTAACCCAAAGGTTGTGGGTTCGAGTCTCGTACCGGCAGGGATTGTAGGTGGGGGGAGTGAGTGCATAAATGTGTGTTCACTGCTGTGTGTGTGCACTTAGGATGGGATAAATGCAGAGCATTAATTCCTAGTATGGGTAACCATACCTGGCCACATGTCACGTCATTTCACTAATAATTTAAACGGCCTGGAGTCACAATCACACATCAGTTGTTTAGATGATTTGATTCAAGACATTTGACATGTTTCTGTTCTGAAATCTCGTGTGTGTTGAACTAGCTAATTTTTTACACACCTCATCCCAAACCTTCCGTCACATCGTCACTAAAGTTTATAAATTACATTTTAATTCTTACCAGTGTTTAACCATTCAGCGCTCGCGCGCTCTCCTGGAGACCGTGCGCTCATGCACACTCGCAGCTCACACACATAACGCTAGGTACACATTACTCCGTTTGCAGTGCGAATGTGGTGCGTATTTTTTCTGTAATATTCTCTATCTCTATCTTTAAGCCCTTTCAAGCCACAAGCTTTTGAAATATTGATGTCAAAATCCAGCATTTTTCCAAAAATCCCTGGCGCTTAAAAGGTTAATGCAGTCTAATGCAGTTATTAGAGAGAGAGAGAGAGAGAGAGAGAAAGAGAGAGGGATAGATTGTGTGTGAATAGCTTACTTGCGTCTGTGCGTCTCTCAGCAGTATTCAGCAGCAGCGTCTACTAATAGCGAACCTTTAAGTTGAACTGCTTCAAGAACCTCGCTACTGAGAAATGTCATGTAGCTTTTCAGCTGCGAAATTATTGATAAATTCTCGGGGCAGCCGCAGCTCTGACAAGTTTCTGTGTGCGTCTCCGCCTGTGTGCACGAGTGCGTGTCTGTACTGTGTGTGCTGTGCATCACGAGCAAGCATAGGCACGTGCCTAGAATGCCTATGCGTAAATCCGGCCCTGTTCATTTACCTAGGGATGCAATGATGTGTAGTGATGTTAACTGTAAAGATGTAAATCATCAGAGGGATCTGCTCAATGTATAATGATATAGTTAATGCCCTGCATGGTTGTTGTAAGCCATTTTTTTAAATCATTAAGAGACAACGCTTCGACGAGTTTTTACGGCAATCCGTGTTCTAGGTGTATTACGGTAAGGAAAGCCCTAGCGCGTGCACTGAATGAGTTACGGCATTTCCGGGTCTTCTGAGTGTTCATTCATTCATTTTTCTCAGTTTTTTGTCCAAAATGTTGTATTTCTGATTAAACCTTTCTGCATTCAAGTGGTGATAAAACATGAACACATAAAGAGAGAATAAAATTGTTTTTTGTTTGTTTAAAAGCAGAGGCTCGGTTCTTGGCGGGTAAAGAGTTAAATTATGGGTTATGGCAGGTAGACCCAGGCAAGGGCCTGAGCTTGAGTATAATCCAAGATATAAGCATGCTATTCGTTTTATCTGTAAAAATGAGCAAACCTTAAGGGCTGATTCTATGGCTATGAAGCTGCTAAATCATATTACTACTGATTTTTGGAAAGACGTCAGAACTTCTAATAGATGCAGAGTATCTCTTCCTTGTACCGTGGAGGATATTCAAGTTAATGATCCAATAGTGATTATGTCACGTGAGGTGGATCAAGCTATAAGCAAATTGCCTCAAAATAAAGCTATTGGCCTAGATAATATTTCTGCCGAACATCTTAAATATGGAAGTAAGAGGATATCCCCTTTGTTAGCTGTCTGTTTTACTGGCCTTTTGATTCAAAGTGTGTTACCAGATTCAATGTTGTCTGTTTTGTTACCAGTTATTAAGAACAAAGCTGGAATGGTAGGTAACTTAGATAATTATAGACCTATAGCTTTAGCTGTCTAAAGTGTTGGGAAAAATCTTGCTGGATAGGTTAAATGTGTTTATTAATTCTACAGAAAACCAGTTTGGATTTAAGGCTAAACATGGTACTGATCTTTGCATCTATGCATTAAAAGAAATAGTAAACAAGTATAGAGATAAAAACTCATCAGTTTTTATGTGCTTCATTGATGCATCTAAAGCTTTTGATCGGGTTAACCATGCAAAGTTATTTTTTAAAATGAGACAAAGAGGGGTACCACAGAATACATTGTGAGAATCCTGGCTTATTGGTATGCCCACCAGATGATGCGAGTAAAATGGGGCAATAAGGTCTCTGCCCCTTTTGGGGTTAGTAATGGCGTGAGACAAGGAGGGATTTTGTCCCCAATTCTGTTTAATCTTTACATGGATGATCTATCTGAATGCTTGAATGCTTGTAAAACTGGGTGTATGATTGGGAATATTCTAGTGAATCATATTATGTATGCAGATGATCTTGTGGTGTTTAGTCCTAGCAGTGCTGGTCTTCAACAGCTTTTAACTATGTGTTCTGATTATGGTCTTGAACATGATATTTTATATAATCCTGATAAGAGTGTGGTTATGATGAACTAAGGAGGATAAAAGTATAATGTTTCCAATTTGTCTAATAAGAGTCTCACTGTGTGTGCGAAAGTAAAATACCTTAGACATTTCATCACTGAGCGCATGACAGATGATGAGGATATTTAAAGGCAACGCCGTATGATGTATATGCAGGTGAATATACTTTTACATAAGTTTAGTTTCTGTTCAGATGAGGTGAAGGTGTTACTTTTTAAAGCATACTGTACAACACTTTATACTGCTCATTTGTGGTTCTACTATAGAACATAGTGATGGCATAGTGCAAGTGAAATGTTTGTGAGTGCAAGGGTAATCACTTTTAAAGCACTGTTACGAAATCTTATGTATAGATTTATCTGCCGGCTAAATGCTTCTAAAAAATGAGATTATTGTGGGTCTATCAAATATCAGGGTTAGTACTACACAGTATCAGTCAAAGCTGTGCAGACATTGGTATTGCTGTATTTTGTAACTCTTTATTGTGTGTGGTAGATGCTATGGGTTGTATATGTTGTCCTATTGTATTTTTTAAATCTGGACCTTGAGTCTGTAATAAAGTTTGATTGATTGATTGATTGATTGAATAAAGACTAGGAAACTTGGAAAACAAGGAGCTCATGGGAAACTAGGAAAACATACAAACATTCAATAACCGGCGATGTAAGAGTG